GCCAGTGATTATTCGCAATGTGGTAAGAGGACAGGAAGATAAATAATTCAGAGTCACAGATACTTCCGCACCTCCAGTTTAGCTTGTGGTTTCAGCATCATTCTACACCTAGCCCCATTTCAGAGATGAACAAGTGGGAAAATTAAGTATTTTGTTTTATGTTTCCTTTGATTGCCTCATCCTCCAGTGCAGGTGCTAACATAACAAGAAGAAATAAGGACTGGAGGAAAATGAATATGACACCTGGCTAATCCAAAGCACAAACCAATCAGACACTGAGTAATCAAAAATCAAAAACCCTTTAGCCAAACTGCCTAGTGGGTCACACATTTAATAAGAATGCCTTTGAGTTTCGATAGGAAGCAGAAACATCATGCAAATTATAGGCACATTTTAGATCAAACCCTTGGGTATAAACATATAAAAGCATAAAATATAGATTGTTTGGTTTAAGGTCTAAACTTCTCTAAACACAGCCAGTGGACCCATGCTAAGCCCTCTATTCAGAAGTCATCTTCACTATACAGTGGCAGAACTGTGTATGGTTTCTATAAATTATATATTTGAAAAGTGTGTTGTCATTATTAACTCTTGTTACTCCTACTGACTTATGCAGTCACCAGCTTTATCTGGGTCTTCTCTATCAATTTTAATCCACTTCTTTTCTATTTCACCCTGGATGTTGGAGCAAGCTCTCTGTTGTAGCAGAACGTGTTTCTGTGGCTGCACACCACTCTCCACCCCCAGAAACCTAAACTTTGTCCTTGATGCACAGTTGTCAAGCATCCCAAACTGAATAGTAGCAAATGGATACCAATCAGAGGAAATTTCTTGGTATGATCCAAGTCCTAGGTTGTATGACAAACAATGGGATGATCAGGATTTCAATGTTTATCAGGAAGCCAGTCTACATTCCATACCACGGTAGGCACTCTCATATTTTGTGACCTGTATGAGGGGTTCAGATTCAGGTTCATGAGAACTCCCCAGACATGCCCGCCAGTTCATTTGGGCTTTCAGGGACTTCTTCCTCTGGAGGTTCATGGCCCAGAGAGCCTTGATCCACTGGGATGGAACAGAAAGTGTACCATTATGTTGTCACAGGACCTCAAGGAACTGGCATGAGATGATCTCTGAAGCAATGATTGCCTTCTTCTTTCCAAAATGGACTTGAAAAGGCACGGTCCTGCCAAAAATACTGAACCTGGAGATCATCACTTTGGAACCCTAGGCTTTCAACCTGTGGAGGACTAACTTCATCTGGAAGACCCACTTTGGGAGCTGTAGGTGTACATGAGTGGTGATTGGATAAGGAAGCATGGGATAAACAGGTTGGTTTAGTAGGCAATAAGGAAGAATTTACTCCAGGTGTGTGGGTGGATGGTTTGAAAATAATTCTGGAATAGGATAAAGCACATAAGTCTCTGCTTTGGGGGTGCCAGGAATTCCTGGGATGTCTTTGATAGGTGTAGAAAGAGGAGAGTTACTTGGAGGTCCTGGACTGGAGTAGAAGTCTATGATGAGAGATGGGAGAGGGGTACTACAGGTGGAGGAAGACCCACAGGGAAATTCCTTAGTACCAGAAAGGTTCAGCTTAAGTCTGCTTGGCCTACAAATGCCTTGATCCTCTGGACAGAAATTCTTTGACTTCTGGGATAAGATTGAAATGTGTTGCCTGGGTTCATAGAAAACATCTTTGAAATCAGATTGTGATCTTGTCAATGAGTCAAATGTGTTGAACCATACTATTTATTGTTCACATATTAATTACTGTATGGTTTTTCTCTTAGAAAAATAAGCCATTCTTTCTTCTGAACACTTGGAATCACAGCTGAATAAAGTAATTTAAACTCTCTAGTACAGAGGTGTTAACATTCTCACAGAGGAAAATACTATAACACCCAATGTCACAGAGAAGGAAACTTCAGAAAAGTTTCTTTTATACTTCTAGCTTATAAATCACCTTAACCAAGTTTCTAAAATTCAAGCTACTTATTACCTTCTCCAACATTTGAGGTGTGCATGTAATTCTTGCAATTGAAAGCAGTCATGTATGCATCATCCCTTTGACTTTACAACAAAAACTTATTTAGCACACATTCCATGCCTAAACATATTTTGAGGGGATGAGCAGAAAAATGACAAGCTGTCCTCAGATGAACTTTACTATCCACTTGGAAATAAATAATAGATCCTAATTAGTTGTAATTGGGCAAAGACTCAGTTATTCTGGACTCATGAGTTACTACTTTAATAGGAGGTCTATGAATCTATCCAGTATCTGGGTATCAATGACAAGTTAGATCCTGAGTCAGTATTTCTTAAATGTTTGAATATTCCTCTTTCTCCAGTATATAGGCACCTGAGTAAATGGCCAGTGGTCCCTCAGAGGGAAGGCAGGAGGAATCATTTTCATTTCTTCTCCTGGAGTTCCAGGGTCCTTCTTCCTGAGGACCCAGCATCTCTTTCTTAAGGAACACCTTCCTCCAGGTGAGAGGTTTGAGGTATGAAATTGGCTCAGATCAAGGGACTGTAACAATTTATTGAGTCTATAAATCAATAGCCTCCTCATAAATCATCCTCGACTTCATTATTTTCTCCCTATCCCTCTTGACCATGTTCTACTCATCATCTTTTGAATTTTCCATGGTAAGGCCTAGCAGGCTGTCACTCCAGCCTCAGTGCTCAACTATCACTGCATCAACTGGGCTTCTGATATTTAAGTGTCAATACCTGGCCATCATGCATCAGGATCTCTCATCTCCAATACTAGCAGGAGTCCAGTTCTGCAATGGTAGCACATTGGACCACCTGCACTGGCATACAATAGAGAGGCCACCATTGAATTTAATTTTATTTTTCATGGTTGACTCTATTACAGATGTCCCTATTTTCTCCCCCTTTACCTAGCCCCCCAGCCCACGTCACTCTGGCCATTATCACATTGCTGTCTGTGTCTATGCATATGTGTTCTCTGGCTAATCCCTTCACCTTCTTTCATCCAGGCCCATCCTCCTCCCTCCCCTCTGACAACTGTCAGTCTGTTCCATGTATCCATGCCTTTGTTTCTATTTCATTAATCAGTTTATTTTGTTCATTAGATTCCACATATAAGTGAGATCATATCTGAAGATAAAAGGATCCTTCTCACCACCAGTATATGCTCTTATTTTTTGGAAATTCTGGTTCTAACATTTTTTTTTCTAATCTAGTGAGGATTTCAGCTTTGGTGTCTTCAGTTATTGGCAATGTTTATTTATTTATTGTAGATAGAAAGAGAGACTTATTTTTTGTTCCATTTGTTGTTTATGCATTCATTGATTGCTTCCCATATGTGCCCTACCAGGATCTAACTGCAATCTTGGCATATGGGGGCAATGCTTCAACCAAATGAGCTACCAGGCCAGGGAAGATTTTAATATCTTAAAGCTGTGATTCAGAAATAGAAATTAGAGGACATTCTCACTGAGATTTGAAAGAATCACTAAAAACTTTATACCTTAGTTTTAAAGTACATATAGGGATTAAAAAACCAAAGCCAACATCAAAACATTAGGATGGAAATTTTGTGCTATCCAGTGCTCTGATTCTTAGCCTTAAGCCCCTCATTGAACAGGCTGATGTCATTTCTAGAATCAATGAACAATTTATCATCTCATGATCAATTTTACATTTCTATTAGGGTTTATTAATAGTATCATATTTTACATGTTCTTTCTTATTTATGAATAGGAAATACAAACTTTCTTTTCAAAATCAAAAGATGGAAGCTATAATAAAAACTATGGATCCCTCCCACTCTTAATCCCATCCATGTCAGTAGTTTTCAGTAATTTCTATATAAATTACATTATACACACTATTTTGCACCTAATTTTTTCACCTTAAAACATATTTTAAAGGTTTTATATTAGCACTAGAGGCCCAGTGCACAAAATTTGTGCATGAGGGTGGGGAGGAAGGGGGTTCCCTCAGTTCAACCTGCACCTTCTCCAATCCAGAACCCCTCAGGGGATGTCTGACTGCCAGTTTAGGCCCAATTCTGGGGATCAGACCTCAACTGGCAGTCGGACATCCCTCTCACAATCCTGGACCACTGGCTCCTAATCACTAAT